CTACAAAATGCTTGATGTTGCGATTATCCTTCCACAATATAAATACATCATCAACATATCTCGCATATATCAATATATCTTGTTGTAAGGAAGGGATGATACTGTTTTCTAGATTACAAAGTACCAATTCGCAGAGGACCGACGACATGGGGCTACCCATCGGTACTCCCCGCCCCTGTAGATAAGTATTATTTTCGAATTCAAAGAAAGATGTGTGACAAATCAAGTCTGCTAATTCCAAAATCTGCGTGTGGTATTTGGTAGCGTTATTAACATTAGCGAATAGAAAATCTCTCAGAGCACAAAAGCATGGAGGCAGTTTGATTGATGGGTATAACGCCTTATAATCTAACACTCATCCATTCCTCATTCATGAGCGCAACATTTTCCAGTTTCCGGATCAAGTCCACCGAGCTTTTTATCGAAAAAGGCAAAACCTGCATCTTTCCTTGTATAAATTTAACAAGTTGTTTTTCTATTCTGAAAGTTGGAGCATTACATTTTTCTACCACAGGCCGTAACTGCGAACCAGGTTTATGTGTTTTTCCGAAGGCAAAAATTCTTGGGTGTCCTAGGAGCTTGTAAAGTAGCAGACCTCATACCCAGATAATTGGCTAAAGGAGTTAGGGTAAATTTTCTCACTCTTTGTTGTAAGGCTTTCAGGTAATTACTCGGGGCAGGAAGACATTCGGTGCTGTCGATGTAGTCATGCAGTTTTTCTCTATATGAGCTCCGTTTGATGAGTACAACACCTTTTGATTTATCCGCCTTTATGAGAACAATGTTGTTTTTTTTTTGGAGCCATTCTTTCGTTTCTTTAATGTGCCTTTGGAAAAGTAAAGCAGTTTTGTTAGAATATCTCTCCTTCTCGGCATATAATCTTGTTTTCCATCTGCAATAATCTTGCGCAGTTAAATTCATATTCTTTATGAGCGTCTCAACGTTCAGTATGAGGCTTTCTGGACGCAACAGTGGTGTCGGTGCAAAGGAAGGGCCGTATTCCAAGGCATTTATCAAGCATTATCAGGACACCAAGAATTTTTGCCTTTGGAAAAACACATAAACCTGGTTTGCAGTTACGGCCTGTGGTAGAAAAATGTAATGCTCCAACTTTCAGAATAGAAAAACAACTTGTTAAATTTATACAAGGAAAGATGCAGGTTTTGCCTTTTTCGATAAAAAGCTCAGTGGACTTGATCCGGAAACTGGAAAATGTTGCGCTCATGAATGAGGAATGGATGACAGTGTTAGATTATAAGGCGTTATACCCATCAATCAAACTGCTTCCATGCTTTTGTGCTCTGAGAGATTTTCTATTCGCTAATGCTAATAACGCTACCAAATACCACATGCAGATTTTGGAATTGGCAGACTTGATTTGTCACACATCTTTTTTTGAATTCGAAAATAATACTTATCTACAAGGGCGGGGAGTACCGATGGGTAGCCCCATGTCGTCGGTCCTCTGCGAATTGTACTTTGTAATCTAGAAAACAGTATCATCCCTTCCTTACAACAAGATATATTGATATATGCGAGATATGTTGATGATGTATTTATATTGTGGAAGGATAATCGCAACATCAAGCATTTTGTAGATCGGATAAACAGTAACCCGTATGGTTTAACCTTGGAATTGGAGCAACAAGGGAGCAGTAGCGTTAATTTCTTAGATCTGACGATAACATGCATGAAAAGGGGAAATCCGAACCAATATTTATCGTAAACCGACATCTATACCCATCATTATTCCTAAGAATTCGGCGGATCCGGAGCATATTAAAATGGCGGTATTTCAATCTTGGATAAGGAGAGCGCACACCCATTGCACAAATGTTTGCGATACTGTTAAGGAGTTACAATATATACAAAGAATTGCCATGCAGCATGACTACGGGAGAAGAATAATAGAGGCTCTCATTAAGAAAGATAATAATCTTACAAGGAGGCAAAAGCAAAACACCAAAAAGAAAAAATGGTCTTTGATTATACACCCTTCCTTAAACCGATTATCAAGAGGGTTTCCAAAAGTAAGAACTTGCAGATAGTTTATCGATGTAATCCCACTACAGGTAACCCCCGTATAACACGGCACTTCTATAGCACGAATTCACTCTAACACGGTTCGAGAATTGGTACCATACCCCATATAACACGGTACTTTTATAGCACAGATTCACTCTGACACGGTTCGAGAAATGGGTAAAACCCTCGTACAACATGAAATGTAATAAATTTTTACATACTTAAGTACTAATAGTTCACGAAAATTATTTTCGTGAACTATTAGTACTTTAGTGTGTAAATTTTCTTTTCTCGTCTCCATACATATGGTTCTTCGCGAAAATTGTTTCAATTTTGCCATATCTCGACACTTCTGCTTCTGTGTTGCCAGATGTTTTTCCCTTATTCCATAAGTGCTTAGCACCATATAAGGAAATTTATAAAGATCTTTTAACTAGAAGCAAGCAATCTAAAATTACATACTTTTTGCAAAAGGCAAGGCATGAATCTGAAAATAATGCAGAAAAATTCTCAGAGGATAATGATAACTTGCCAAAAATAAAATGCTCTTGGTTAATAGTGCTTTTAGTGATGACAAAGAAAACTTATATTTATCTTAAAAAACATGCTACTATATTTTCATAATTAATTTTTGGAACCTAACCCTCCTTTTCGTACTAGTTCTTTGTTTCGCATAACACGGCAATTTTTTAGAATGTAACTACCGTGTTATACGGGGGTTACCTGTATATACAGAATGTTAAGGAATGACAAGAGGGATTATGAACGCAACTCCTTAACAGGAATATACTCGATACCGCTAAGAGACCACAGGTTCAACTCTAACTTAGTATATATAGGCACAACTTTGAGGAATTTGAAAAAAAGAATCAATGAGCATAAGCTTTCAGTGAACAAAACAATTGACAGCACGGTCCTTGCCACTTATGCTAAACAACAAGGCATTACTGTTTTCTGGGACCAGGCCTCTATAATAAAAGCCACTACATCTAGACACGTGATAAAATATCTCGAAAAGCTGGAAATCCACAGAGCACAGAAGAGCACGCAGTGTATCAACTATAGGGATGCCGACAGGCTTTCGTCCGCTTGGAAATCTTTTTGCGACGAATTGGCATAGATCTATATAAAAGGCTCAATCAGGCTTATGATGATCAATGATAGATATTTTATTTATTTATTTATTTGTTATTATTATTATTATTATTGTTTATTAAGCGCACACAAATTTGTATATAGCGCTTTTGTTTGTAATACGTTACATTTTAATTTTTTACATAATCGTTATTTGGAATTTCCGTTGCGTAATTTTTCAAATTTCACATTTCGAATTATAGAATTAACTGATGATGAATGCTTAATGCGTTTGAAAACGTTTTTAAGTTATTAAAGAATTTTGCTGGATAGTTGAATGGTTTTTATTTTTATTGATTTTATTCTCCAGTAAGCAAGTATACTATGAAAATGTAGACACTTTGTTATTTCAATTAAAAAAAAAAAAATGCTTTTCAATCTTGAGTAAATAAAATATTATTTTTATCTTGTTGAATAGATACTATTCTTATTATCCCAAGTGAAAAAATACTTTATACACAATTATAGTATAAAAAATTCAGCATCAAAGTTTCGGGTATCTCCTACCCACCTCATAGCTGGCGTAACAATTTCTCACCTCATTCACGCCGGGTTAAGGAATTTGCTGTATGGGGTGGTTATGTCATTTTAAGCTGCGAGAAACATATTTCAAAAGGAAACATAATATAGGAAGATAAAATTCAGCAAGGAAAGAAGTTTGGGTTTACCTAACCTGATGAAAAAAAGAAAAAATGAAACAGACATGGGATGTCTGTTTCATTTTTTCTGCTGTGATGCTGTGATGTCACACCATGGTCCTATGAAGCTTAATAGTGTGTATGATTGCTGTAATAGTGTGTATGAATGGCAATAAATGCTACACAGCAGTTTGGCGGTAATGAATCCCACTCTTGCACAATTATTCTATGGAGCTCTGCGATAGCCCATAGTAGATGATGATGTGTTGCAACACTGTGACCAAGAGTATCCNACATAACTTTATTTCCCCCAAACATATTTATGTAGCTAAAATTAGTTTTAACTAATGTTAAAAGTTAAAACTAGTTTTATCTAAAGTCAAAACATGTACAGCAGTAAATTAACTAGACAAAACGGGTTTTAACAAAGACACTCAGTATAAACTAGTTTCAACTAGACAAAACGGGTTTTAACAAAGACATTCAGTATAAACTAGTTTCAACTAGTTAAAACGCATTCTAACTAAAAACGGGTTTTGACTGTAACATAGATATACAAATATATTTAAATATTATATATATTTTTATATCTTATATAATTATGTAATTATATAATAAAATATATAATACAAAAAGATCATAGTAATCTTTCAGTATTAATGATTTTAGCTTTATTCAGTTCAAATCTTTCATTAACTGCAATTTACTCTTATTCTGTATTTTTTTTATGTTAAAAAACATAAGAAATGAAAGAATGGTTTACATTGTCAAAGAATGTGATGTTTTAAATAATATGAATGGTTGAATATATTTGTTTATTCAAAATAATAAAAACACCTTTCTCACTTTTTCTAGCAAGTCTTAATAAAATGAACTAACATTTTCAGCTATTTTGAATAGTTTTCGTAGATTTAACATAATTTCGAACATCCTAATAAACAAAATAACTGTTTAAAGTTAAAGTGTGTTAAAGTTTATTAAAAACTTTTTTTAATAAAAAAGTTTAACTAATATTAAACTTTTTTATTAAAACTTGCTAGAAAAAGTGAGAAAGATGTTTTTATTATTATTATCTAGAAGTTCTAGCTTACAATGCATAGAATATGAATAAACCAAAATATATTTCAGACAATCTGAAAATTTTTATTGTGATTATGAATTTTCAGTTATTTAATTATTATTATTATTTATCTTTTTTTCCAGAGTTATATTTATGCCCATGCTATTATTATCCAGATCGGATGGGAACTGTTGAATTTCCATCTTTTGTTATTGCTATTGATGTAAAATCTGGAGAAATATCTTCAGAAAATTGGATAAAGAGAGGAACAGCATTTCTGCTAAATTTAGATGGATAATTTTCTTTTGTTTATGAATACGTTCATGTACTAATTCCTGTTCTACTTATTAAATAATGGTGTATATGTTTTAAAATAAAATTTTAAATAAAGTATCTTAGCATAGTGCAATTTACATTCAATATTTATTTAATATATAACATTAACACTTCAAAAATTGTTAATAATAAATCAAAAAGCAACTGCTTGATTGGAATGCAATATCAAATATAAAAATATTCAAGCACTTTTGGACATCTTCAGTCCATCATCTGGGATTAAGGTTCTGTTACTTCTAACTAAAATCTTTAAATTATAATTCATAAAGAAAAGTGGGAAATTAGACCAATTTTTGAGAATGGTTTAGAATTGAAAAAGAACTAGCAAGATTTATTAATAGATGGCTGTTTGTCTATGAATGGGTAAAGACATTAATTAATAGATTAAAAGAAGGGCATATAAAAATAATCTCACAATCTTTGCTTTTGATGCCTTTGTGAAACAAGAACTTACTTTTTTACATAAACAGAATTTAAAGAGATAGATTTTAAAAAACATATCAGATTATCCATAGTTTCTACTTTAAGCTGTGAGGAAAGTATTATAAACAGATGAATAACTGTCAGGTAACCAATAATGGGATTTGTAATGGAATTGAGAGAGGGAGAAATGTCTTGGAGGAAGTTAAAGGAAAATAAAATTTATGGCTCAGTATAGAACTACTGATTTGTGGACTATTTGGAAAAATAAGCTTGGCATTTAGGATTTTTTTATACATTTTCAAGTGAGAGCTAGTGTTTGAAGTTAAACACAAGCAAGAATTGGAAATGGAAGTATATTTCTTGGATATGTGGTTCAAGAAATTTGAAGGAAAGTTTTGAACATGAGTATGTAGAAAAACTATATTCAAACCTATATACGTTCTGCAAGATTTGTATAACCTGCTGAGATATAAATTTCTGCTTTTAGAACACTAATAGTCTGAGTGTTTGATTTGAGATTGATTGTTTATTGGAACTGACTTCAGATTACAAATTAAAATAGGTTGTGCCTAGAAAAATAGTTGCACAAAGAGCAAATTTTGCAGTAGAAAAGTATAAAAATGTAACATAGATGAAAAAGGGCTTTACTGCATTATGACTTGTTTGGGAAGAGGTGGTGTGAGAGGTTTCAGGAAGAGATAAAGAACAGAATACTTCTATATATATAATAATATTGATAGTAGTATTTTGATTTGAGCTTTGCAAAATGATAAGTAGAAGCATGACAAATTAGATAGAGTAAGTGTTTATATGATTTCAGTAATTGAGAAAAATTTAAATAAGAGCAATAATAAGAATTCTTAAAAGCTAGAATGGACAAGCATTGAGGAGATCTGAGTTTGGAAGAAAACTATGACATTGAGTCAAGAAGCAACGAAGAAGTACAGTGCATTCAATAAAAATAAAAACACTCAGTTTTTTAAAATTTATTTCAGATGGTAAAATAAATGGATTATAGCCAAATTTAATTTTATGTATTTTAACGTGTTTTTACAATTATGTACAAAGCTTCAAGTTCTAATATAAACAGTAAAATAATTTTATTGAAGAAATGAGTTTCTTGAAGTGTTCAATAATTATAAGATCACTTATGAATAATACACAGAAAATGATATTTCCAAGGTTATTTATGAAAGCTAACAATCAGAATGCCCCCTTTGTTTTCAGTTTCTTCAAAAATTATATCTGTCGTCAACTTGATCGGCTTTTGAAGAAAATCCCAAGGAATCTCCTTCCAATTCTCAATGATTGTAGTTTTCAAGTTTATGGTATTATCATATTACTTCCCATTAGCAAAGACTGACCTGACCATAAGTCCCATGATATTCTCCATAGGGTTCAAATCCAGTGACATTACTGGCCAATCCATGACATGAATCCCATTGACCAGAACCATTCCCAGGTAATGTTTGGGAGCATTATCTTGCTGGAACTGCCACTGAAGACCCCCAGTCTTTCTCAAAACAAAATAGATTCTTTTCTATCTGCTGGATGTATCCTTTAGCATTCTGCCTTCCTCTAGGAAAGGCAATATTTGTTTTCTCTCTCTCTCTCCAAAAGCAGACCAAACCATCATAGAACCCCATCCATTTGTCATTTGAACTGGATTTCTCTCTCTTAAATCATGCTAATAAGTATTAGCAACCATCAGGAATGTCTAAATTAAACTTTTTCTCATTTGATCACACTACAATTCTTTTTTTGGAAAATGTTCTAAAAATAGAAGAGTTTTCCAGACTAGACCACAGTGACAATTGTAGTAAAAAAAATGTTATCTATCTGTCATTTTCATGAAACCTATCCTGGCATTTCTCCTCCCTTAAGGTTAAGAAAGTATTTCCTTAATGAACTTTAAGTGATGATTTGTGCTTTCAGTTGTGCAGATATGTATTTATATATCTATCTTCAATATATTGATATTAAGTTTTAAATTTTAATGCATTCAGTTGAGCATAATCTCATTTTAAAACTACTGTCCATCTCAAGATTGGAAAATTTTTAACTTACAAGACTGTTCAATTTTTGACTAAAAGCTGAGATCATCCTGTACCAATGTTGATCGTAAATTATCTTTTGGTTAAAAACAGGCCAAATTTAAGAAATACATCTTATACAGTATACACTCTTAGAGTTAATAATTCCTGGGGTGTACGCGGTGCCTCTCATCGACCATAGATGCGACAGAAAATTAGTATACATTGGAGCCACAAAAAGGCGGTTGGAGTAAGATGGAAGGAACACCAAAGGGACATCATGCACAACAGGTGTACCACCTCTTTATCTGTGTATGCTTCAGATCTGGAGATCTCTGCGGACTTCGTGAATGCCAAACTCTTTATCACAACGTCATATGTGGACCAGCTCAGATGGTTACAACAGGTAGAAATATACAAAGCCTACAACTCATCATCGCCCATCAATTCCAAAGATGAAATCACCTTATCGTTAGCGTGGCAAGCCCTAATACGGAAAGAAGATTCAAATTAAAATTGACATCAGTGCTTATAATAAATTAAGGAATAACAACGCGCATTTTCTCCGACTTCCGACACGCTCAAACAGATTTATTCATAAAAATTACAGAATCCATCATACAAGTAGACGATCATTACGTAGCGACTGGAGTTTCGAAGACACGTGATTCCCAATGGAACTCGGAATACGATATTTGAAATTTCGTTCCAAAGACAACAGATATTCTAACAGATCATTGCAAATAGAACATAGTCTGATGAAGGACCCAGTGGGATCCGAAAACGTTAGCATAAGCAATTGAACATATTTCATGCTGGTTATAGGTTTTAGAAAGATTATTAATAATGAACTTTAATATACAGTAGAGCGTCGTTTATCCGAATCAATTGGGGACTGGGGTTGTTCGAACAACTTATTTTTCGGATAACCAATTATGTACGAAAAAATATATTAATTTATCCTGTGTTGAAATTTTTCTCCGTTGAGGGTCGCTTTGCGTTGAATTTTCGTTGATGTTAAGCCTAACGAAGACTATNCTAGAGGTAAGATGTTAGATGCCATTTCATATTAAATTTAATAATTATAATTAAATTAATATTTACTAAATAATTTAGAAATTTCTGGAAGAAAATTGGCCCAGAGAAGAACTCAAACTCACAACAGCTGCTTACTGTGCAGATGTGTTGCCAGTTACACTACCCAGACCTCCATCTAATCCCTCGCTTCCAGACAAATTTAATTTCAAAATACACCTAGTCCAAAACACTATTTCTTCAATTTCAAGTTACTTTAAACCAAGCTAGACATGTGAATGTAAGCGTTATCATTCATTAAAATGAACCCAGAACCAAATGCATTTCTAAAAAGCTGAACATAGTGCTGCAGGATGCTATCCCTATATGTCTGGCCTATTACAGTACCACATTCAAACATATTCAGTGGCATACAAGACCCTAACATGATTTCATCCCAAACAAAAGCTTCTCCATCTCCAGAACAATATTTGATGGTGTAACATATCCTTGAGACTCGCCAGACATACACTCATCAACTATTAGTCTCTGAGCTGTAACAGGACAGAGTACAGTGGCACATTGTTCTGAGGTCTATGCAAAGTGTTCAGTACACCATGTTCTGCATATCAGCATGTGCCATGTAGTTAAAGGAATGCATACTATAGGCTGCCTTTGGTGGTATGGCATCAGGCATTTATGGCCACATACTAGTCGAGACATGCAGTTGTGACACATGGGCAGCCTTCTCTGTATTGCCTTTGACATGTTGGCAACATTGGAACCATCACCAAAGCCTATAGATAATTCATTTGGTTACTGTGACACTTGTCTCTGAGTTTGTCCAGTCTCTATTTGTATGCAAGCTTTTGATGTGTTATAGTGTGAAAGGATGGGAAACACGTGACAATAAGACAATGCAAATAACAGTCAAATTGCGTTTTTATTGATTGAAATGAGGGAAGAGAGATTGGACTGCTTGTTACAGAGAACAAAAGTATATATATGTACTACGTCCCTGCTCTTGCTCAAACTTCTCGTGACAATTAATTTATATACAATTCCAGTTAAAATTAAGACAGTTACAATTCAACTTAAACCTAATAATATTACTATTACTATTACTACTTACAACTAGAAAGAGAAAAGAAAGGATGAAGGATGGTTGGATAGTGTACCGGTAGCTTAGATTGGGGGTCCTGACACTGGGATAATGTCGACTGTGGTTGCTTCATGGACAGTGAACATCCAATCCATTCACATCTAGGGTAATAACAACCAGTTACCATTAAACATGTGCCGAGGCAGGTCCTTGAGCTTGTACAGAAACTTGCTTACTTAGTTCCAAATCACCATAGTCAGTATAGACCATGTGTGGACATGGTCTATACATCTCTATCTTCCAGGTGTGGTGAGTGTACTAAAAAACAGATAGGAAAACAAAACATTGCTGTTCGAAGTGTGAGAATCCAAGATGTATGAAGCATGTGATTTTTGTGTGTGGAGATTGTGCTGATTTGTAGGTGTAATGTTGGTGCTGTGCAAATTGATCTCATAAGACCTTTTAGTTTTTTTTAAGACCTAGGAAGATAGAAGGAGACAGTCAGTATAGACCATGTGTGAACATGGTCTATATTGACTCTCTCTTTCTATCTTCCTAGGCCTGACTCACCTGACTCCTCATAGCTTGCAACTTGGTCTCTCTCTCTCTCACCTGACCTTTTGTCTCATTGGTGGCAAACCCAAAAGTGACTCTTGTCAACTCCTGGTTTCCACAGGTCCCCTTTCTTTTCCTTTGTACATTGGCCAATCAGGACCCACAAACAGTAAAGCTCCTGTCATGTGATAGGAAAGGGTTAAAGACAGAAAGAAGAAGAATTACAGGAAAGAAGGAAGGAGTTCCTATTCTATATACAATTATACAAAACAAACATGGTGGACAGCTATAATAGTTGCTACATCAATGTTAGCAGATAGTTTGTGTTTAAAAGCTTGCAACTTAAAGTGTAACTAGTTTGTTATGAACTCTTCATTTTAATCGTTAATAATTATTACATGAAAACTATGCTGCTTTAATTCAACTGCAAGTAAAAATTTAAAAAAAAAAAACATTCATTTTATATCCCATAAATTAGATTTATTTTCATATTAATCATATTGCATTTTCAAATAAATGGTTTGGTTGCTAATTAAGCAGTTTTGTTTTCTTTCATTTTATTGATTGATATTAATAAAACAATTGATCATAGTAATTTTTGAGTATTAATGATTTTATAATAATAACTAACAAAGAATGTGCAGCATTGCCCTGAAACTCAGGGGGGGTTGAGTTGTCCTCATTATAGAGTAGAGTATATTTCCCATAGGGTGGCAAAGAGTAACTATGCAAAATTTGGTGTAAATCAGTCAAAGAGTTTGGCAATTTTTGGGAATGAAATAAGGGGAAGGAGTGAGGATCTAAGTTTGGAGGCTTGTAGAGACTGATTATGCAAAATTTGTCTAGACTGCTCAAAAGGTTTGGGAGTTTGGGGGTAGGAGAAGAAATCAGAGAGAAGGAATGAGGGGTCTGAGTTTTATGGTAGTCTGTTTTGCATAGGGTAGCAGAGAGTAACTATAGAGAATTTGGTCCAGGCTGATCAAAGGGTTTGGGAGTTTGTAGGGAAGATGAAATCAGCAGGAAGGAGTGTTAAGGTAGCTTACATACATCTGAAAGTAATAAGCTTTCCAATTATTCCTTGACATGGATGTATTTCATGACATTTGCTACTTTCTTTTAGATATTTTATTGTCTTTTTAAAGTTCATTCAGATAAGATTGCAGATGTGAATGACACCATTGGGACCTTAACAGAGCTGTAGAGCAAGTTCATAGCAGCAAAAAAAAAGTCAAAGGAACCATACCTTTATATGTGACTTTGTGACATACAATCTGACGAAATAAGCCTACTTTCAGGCTCTACAGGAATTCACGCTGTGCTTAACATGCATATAACAATCAGCCTAGCACAGTGGTCAGACATTCTAATGATATTTATCAGTAAAGAATAAAGAAGTCTGAAATGCAACCATTTGCAAGATATTCACCTTCAATTATGGAACCCCAACTGCGGCAATCCCAGTCACCATCTTGCTTGCAGACATCATGTTTGCAAGCAACTTATGTTTTAGGCATGGTGACCAGTGCCTTTAACATAAATAATAATTGCATTATTTTCCACTGTCCAAAAACAGTTTTTGCCTTGAACCAGTACTACTGCCTATTCTCCATGCTCTTTATCAGTCAAGACGAGTGATAACTCCTCATGTAGTTATTGTGTTCACTATCACTTACACCTCAGCACCCATGTGGGGTTGAGCCCCCACACCCACCCCTTAAAACTCTATAACATCACATATACCACGAACAGTCAAGTGGGCTACTCAAAGCTGGCATAGTCATCTGGGCTTAATAGTTAAATTATATAGTCTTAGTGAAGCATGCGACATGACTCCTGATTGTTCTCTGGAAGAAGGTTGACTTTGGCAGGCTATATCTTGTGAAGGATTCCATATAGAGGTATGATTTCCTTGACTTTTTTTGTTCCTATAAGCATGCTCTACATCTCTGTTAAAGTCACAATAGTGTCATTCACATCTGTAAATATACCCTCATCCTCACGTGTGTGCACCTGAACAGTAACCAAAAGAACTCAATTTATGTAGATAGATATCTGATAAAATAAGACTAATTCTTACTTTTAAATAATGGTACAGTAGGATTAATACTAAAACAATGAACAGATAAAAATATTATAGGCCTACTTACAAAAGTTTAG